GAATCGGAGAATAGGTTCGGCAAACCAGAGATTGGGGTTCGGCGAATCGAAGGTCGCGTTTGGCAAATCAGAGATCGGGGTTTGGCGAATCAAAGGTCAGGTTCGGCAGATCTCAAATCAGAGATTGGGGTTCGGCGAATCGAAGGTTGGGTTCGGCAAATCAGAGATCAGGGTTCGGCAAATTGGAGGTTGGGTTCGTGAACACTAGATCTTAGGCACAAACACTAAAGTAGCACATGGTTCTGCACACAGAAGCATTGGAAAATAGGCAAAGCAAGAAATGGGACCAGCCAGATGACAGAAGGAAATGGTATGTTTTAAAATTAAGCCAAATGCATTAGCGTATTGTTACCTGATTTGCGATTTGCTATTCGGCTTCACGATTCGCTACCTCAGCCCGTATCAGGTTCAATAGGCGTTGTACATCTCTGATTCACGAATCGGAGAATAGGTTCGGCAAACCAGAGATTGGGGTTCGGCGAATCGAAGGTCGCGTTTGGCAAATCAGAGATCGGGGTTTGGCGAATCAAAGGTCAGGTTCGGCAGATCTCAAATCAGAGATTGGGGTTCGGCGAATCGAAGGTTGGGTTCGGCAAATCAGAGATCAGGGTTCGGCAAATCGGAGGTTGGGTTCGTGAACACTAGATCTTAGGCACAAACACTAAAGTAGCACATGGTTCTGCACACAGAAGCATTGGAAAATAGGCAAAGCAAGAAATGGGCCTAGTCAGCCCACACAGCCCATAAACAATCCTGGGTCCCAACTACCAACTCCCATCCCTAATAAGCATCGTGACTGCCTACCCTACCGAGCATGGAGCGCCACCCCTCCAGTTTGTTTGATCTATTGCAAAAAGCTTTCCTTAGGGATTCTATCGACTCCATCTCCCTCACCTCATCCACACATGGTTCACGGCTATGGCTGCAGCCGCGGCCCATACCATGCCAACCTACTCGAGAGCACCCAATGGTGTCAACTCAATCTACTCGACATGAGATAGCTGCATTGCAATTCCTTCCATTTTTCTCTCAATCTCCTTGGTCGGAATCTAATGGTCCACCTGAATGATCGGTCACCACATCCTTACCGATTGGCACCAAACTCGAACCCCAATCGAGATTGGGGGTTTGGGGTTCGGAGGGTGGCTTAGTGAATCTGGTAACTACGGAGAATATAATAACTGTGAATGCCCAGATATGCACAGGAGACAAAAAAATTTAACAAATATATCAAATGAGGAAAGGAGTGACATTTTTTAACACCTGAAAGATGCTTGATTTCCTGCAATTCTTTTGAGTAGCTGCTTTTGAAAGCCTCAATCTCATCCAGATACCTTTTATGCTTCTCATCGACGATAGAAATAGCTTCAAGGACATTGCCAACCACCTCTTTCAAGTGATCATTATGGTTTTGAAGGGCAACAACAACATCTAAATTAAATAATTTAAGTTCAAGCAGATGGGTAGTTAGCAAATAATAAAGGTGCACTGAAAAAAATGGAGGGGAAAAGCCAGATATTACTTTTTGTCTTTACCTTCATTTGACTTCTCTCCATTTAAAGCTAATGACAAATATTCACTTCTAGCCTGTTGTGCAGCAATAGCCTCTTGAAGGGACCTCATCAGAGCAAGAGTTGCCGAACGGCGCAAAGCAAGAGCTTCTTCAGCAAATTCCAACAAGCTATTGTCACCCTTTTTTCCATAATTGTTGGACTTCAAGAGCATGAAGAGAAAAATTTCATCAGAAGGACACAACTCGATGGATTCTGAGCAACAAAAAAGAACACACAATCAGCTAAGGCAAGGTCGCTACTGAAACAAAAAAGCACATCTCAGAAAGCAACATTGAACAATTAAAGAAATAAGGCAGCAACCTTCTGACAACTCTTCATGGTCAAGTGCAGGCAAATTGTTCAAACCACCACCAAATCGAACTCCAAGCAGGATTAAATCATCAACAAGCTATAATTAACATATATTAGTAAGAAGAATTACGAACCGGAAAAGAACCATAAAAGAGAGTTTACATGACTCAGAGGAAAGAACCTGATTCCACATCTTATCCAGGGAAATCAGAGTATTGTCATAAGAAGATTGTTCATTCCTCAACTCCTTGAACTTAGCTTCCAACAAATGCATTTCAGACTTCTGTGCTTCCAATTGCTGCACCAACTTCTGGTTTTCATAATTAAGGGCTGTGGCATCCATCTTTTAAAAAGAAAAACAGAAAGTAAGTCCTACAACAGGGCACCAAAAAATTAACAGATTTGCAACCAGATTAATGTCCACTAACCAACCTTTCCAAACTAATTGACCAATCTTATAGAGGCGAGTATTCAGTCAGTCTTGTCGGTTTGCTAAAATTTCTAACCAGATTGCAAGTTGTAACACAAATTTAACTTCTAAATGTACTAAATAACTTCAAAATCAAAATGTATCAAAGTTAGAAAAAAATGTTAAACTGGGAAGCCCCCTACAGGTCAAAATTAAGAAATAGAGGTAGTATGCCTGATCACAGCTTTATTTAATAAGCTTTTGCTATGCATACTACGTTATTATGTTGACTAATGTTTTGCTCCATTCCAGTTTGAGGAACTGTGGATATTATCATTGAGACCATGGTATGAAGCTCGGTTATTGGAGACAACAATTCGAGCAGCCATTTAATAGCATATAATGGATATGGATTAATGGAAAAAGCTTTGAATTTAGGGAACCAGTTATTGGAGACAACAACAGGTTCCCTAAAATTGCCCAGTGGGACAAGCAGTATGGTGAATGGCAGCATCGAAAAACTAGTCGCACATGCCACATAACATATATTTCCATGAAGATGAATTGGGGAGAAAGGCGAGCAGAAACTTGAATGGACAGACATGGGGGGAGAGAGGCCCGGGAGCAGAAGCGGGGAGCAGCAGAGGGGGGTGGCGTC